AAACCCATGACCTGCTGAGGTGCTTGCTAAAGGCAAAAGGAATACAGAATGGGTAGTAGAAGGTAGTCATCAATACCAGCTGTGACCAGCTGCAGAAACGAAGTCTGTAACTGTCATGAGTATTTCCTTCTTTTGTTAAAAACATGTATGTGCATGTATACACTTGTACTAAGAAAATATCTTCATTTTATTTCCTTTTCCTTTATCATGTAACAAGATTTACTGTCTTCATATCAGCATTTAAGTATAGTTAACTTTATGTTACACAACAATCTGGGTTGGGGATTGGTGCATAATAATCATGACCTTATTATTGTCTTTATTTGAAGACTATGTATGATCTCAGGACGTGTATGGGTTCAAGTTGACAAGGAATGGACTTGTGGTGGTTAATACTAAGTGTCAACATGATTGGGTTGAAGGATACAAAGTATTAATCCTGGGTGTGTCTGTGAAGGTGGTGCCAAAGGAGACTAACATTTGAGTCAGGGGGCTGGGGAAGGCAGACCCACCCTTAATCTGATGGGCACCATCTAATCAGCTGCCAGCTAATATAACACAGGCAGAAAAACGCGAAAAGGCGAGACTAGCCTAGCCTCCCACAGCCTACGTCTTTCTCCCATGCTGGAGGCTTCCTTGCCCTCGAACATCAGACTCCAGGTTCTTCAATTTTGAGACTTAACTGGCTCTCCTTGCTCCTCATGCTTGCAGACAGCCTACTGTGGGACCCTGTGATCATTAATACTTAATAAACTCCCCTTTATATATAGCTCCCCTATTAGTTCAGTCCCTCTAGAGACCCTGACTAATACACCTATGGATTCAGTGTGGCCCCTACAAAGAGCTCCTTGATGGCAACACACCTTGTACATGCACACACGTTTAAACTCGGCACGCACACATCCTCAGACACGCATAAGACAAGAGTGGGGGCTTCTGGTAGAACAAAGTGAGGGCACTATTCCTCATGAAAGCCTTGTTTCTAAAACATGCTCCGCTGGTCCTTTGGAGAGCGTCCTCTGCTGCTGCCGGTTCAAGGGCCCACGATCCACTCCAGAGGGGGCTCATGATGCCTTCCTGTGGGCTATCAGGGGTAACAGCATGCTGCAAAACAAACTCCCGCAGCAGATGACACTGACAACTTCAAATGTGTCTGAAAATCACTTCCAGAAGCCACTCACAGTGGATTTTGAGATCCACAAACCCTATCTTTTCAGTGTAATTGCCTTATGCTGGGTTACTTCTAAAAAATCCACAAGGAGAAATACAGGAAAAAAAAACACACACACTCAGCTGAACTCTTACTGTGGTGGCTCAGACTCAGTCCAGGATTCACACTTAGAGGAGTTCATTTAAGAATTTAAAAAACCAGAGGACTGTCAGAAAGACGAGCTGGAACAAGCGTCTGTCACCATTCCAAAGGTGTGCCCCACTTAGCAGCTCTGTAACCTTAACACTCTTTTGCAAAGGTGAGCAACGAGGCCCTCCTCCTCTGCCCTGGCTCAAGTGTTCTCCTGGAAGTCCACTGGTGTCACCTCAGGCCTCTTGGTCCAGGGCTGCTCTCACTGGTCCCCAGGAGAAAGAGCACTACGACTGGCAGGGCTGGCCTAGAGATGGACTCACAGCATGGACGGGGCCTGCCCTATCCCTCAGTCTCCAGGCAGGCTCATGCAGGCCAGCGCCATCCAAGTGAGTCACAGACTAAAGTGCATTTCCTAACAGTTATGTCTACCAAGTTGACATTTCCACCCCTCAGCATGGTGCCAGTGCCATGCTCTCAGTGGGCTCTACACAGGAATAGATTTTTTTTAAAGGATGTCATGTACTTGTAACCTACCCACTTCTTAATATCCCAGCAATGCCTGTCTTCAACGTTATAGGGATAACTGAGGTCGCAAATGGAAAGTACTTTCTACAGTAACTGGAACGTAACAAGCAGCCAACAAAAAATCCTACCCCAGTCGATTTTATTATAATAATAAAATTACTGCCTTTTAAATTATCATTACTAACAACTACAAAAAAATAGCAACAACTTTGCATCCAACAGGATGGCTGTTATTTAAAAAAAAACAAAACACACAGAAAACGAGTTGGCAAGAATGCGGAAGCAGCAACACCACTGTGCGCTGCTGGTGGGAATGTGGCTTGGTGCAGCCGTGGGGAAAACCACGTGGCAGTTCCTCAAGACTTAATCACAAAATTACCATTTGACCCAGCAATTTCATTTCTGAGTATATACAGAAAAGAACTCAAAAGCAAGGACTCAAATACTTATCAACCGTGCTCTTGGCCACATTATTCACAACAGCCAAGAGGTGAAGGTAACCCAAGTTCCCATCAACACATAAATAAAATGATATAAATACACACAATATTATTCAGCCTTAAAAACGAAGGTAATTCTGCCACATGCTACAGCGTGGAAAACTCTTGAGAACTTGATGCTGAGTGAAACAAGCCAGTCAAAAGACAAAATGATTACACTTACATGAGGCACCAAAGGTAATGAAATTCAGAGACAGAAAGTAGAACGGTAGAGGCCAGGGGCTGGGGAGGAGAATGGGGACTGCATAACTGGAACAGAATTCAGTTTGAGAAGAAGAAAAAGTTCTGGAGGTGAACGGGGGTGACAGTTATAAAACTGTGAATGTATTTAGTGCTACTAAACAGTACATCTAAAAACGGTAAAAATGGTAAACTGCTTTTTACATATCTCTATATAGACAGTAAAAAAGAGAACACGTGTGTGTTGTTCCTAAAAATTCCGACAGCAGAGAAGTTTACAAATGGGGCTGCCTGCTGCTTTATTAAAATACTTATTTTCTGAGGTCACTGCCGAGAAAATATTTTCACGTCAAAATTGTCATATTCCCATTTATAAATTTTTTCTTGCTACCTCAGAAAAACAATAGCAGCCATTCACATTCCCTGAGCTCCTACTCTGCCAGACTCCATATACATGGTACAAACCTTAACGACCTAATCCCAAGAGACCTCACAAGGGAGGCCTATCATCCTCATTTTCCATCTGAAACACCTGTGGCTCTGAGGCTCAGTCACCCAAGCCCCAGAGCACAGCTATAACTTCACATCATGCTCTTTCGACACCTCGCTATGTATGAGCTGTTCTCTATAAATCACTCTCCCCAGCAGAATCAGAGAAACTGTATTATACAACGGCGCTTTTCAGCAGGATGCAAGTAAAGTTACATAAGTGATGCTCCCTGAATAAATCCCACCCCTGCCTCTGTCATCCACCCACACACTTCACCTTTATGGCTCAATTTCTGAAATCTTACTTCTTTTACATGTCAGAGCACCTACAACCAAGGTCAATATAAATGCAAATTTGAACATTATATACAATATATATGAATCCACTTTGTGTGGATATATATAAAAATCCATTGTGTGTACTCGTTAGTATAGTGGTTAAAAAAAAGAGAAAAAATAAAAATCCGTTGTGCACGTATATGTATGTGTGTGCACGCATAGAAGAATTCACTATGTGTGTATATGTGCACATATATAAATCTATTGTGTGTATATGCATATGCATACATATTAATCTATTGTGTGTATGTGTATGTAAATCCAATGTGTGTGCATATGCAAATGAATCCATTATATATGTATGCATAGATATGAATCCATTGTGTGTGCATATATAAATAAATCCATTGTGTATATGTGTGCACATATGAATCCATTGTGCGCATGTGTATGTACATATATATGAATCCATTGTGTACATGTGTATGCATATGTAGATACATGAATCCACTGTGTGTGTATATTTGTTAATTCGTTGTGTATGTGCATGTGTGATAATGAATCCACCATATGTGTATGTATGTATATATGAATCCATTGTATACCTGCGTATGTGTGCATATGCATATGGATATACATAAATCCATTGTGTGCATATTTATAAAATCCATTGTGTATGTACATGTGTGCATATATGAATCCATTGTGTGTGTGTATGTACATATATATGAATCCATTGTTTATGTACATGAGCATGTGTACATGTGTATATAAAAATCCATGTATATCAGGTGTATGTATATATCTGTGTGCATATATGTGAATCTGTTTGTGTACGTGTGTGCATATATATAAATCCACTGATGTGTGCAGGCCCATATATATACATACACACACATGAATCTATCATACGTCCCTTGAAGGCAAGAACTACATGGCTGTATTCAGAAAACCTAGTACTCTCTTCTCAATAACGCTAACCGATGGAATGAAGAATGGCTAAGTAACACCTGTGTTCAGGAAGATGCACAATAAATATTCCATAATACACATATTCCCTGAATACAGAACGCCTGCTGGGCACTCAAATCACTAGCTTTACAGAATTTTCACAGCCATACACGCATGACGTAAATCACAAGCACTAAGCTTCTGAGAGAACTTTCAACTCCACCACAAGCACAACAGCTGAGCAGCCACAGCCATGTGCCGAGGACCACTGGTCTCATAAGAACACAAGCCTCAAAATCAGAAAGTCCATGAAATAATGCTGAACAACTACAAAACAGAAGGAAGAGATGCATTTGTACAATACCATCACTCGCATAAAGAAAATGACAGAAATTACTTAACTGCACATCACTGCCCAAAGTACCATAGTCACAAAAATTAAATACAGTCTGCGGATCACCAACTCCAAGTCCTGACACTAGCTCTAAAAAAGGGATCAATTCTATCACAGTAAAACTGAGATACTTCTCTTCACGCTTGGAAAAGGCCAGGATGAAAGGAAATGCTGGCTGGTCACTACAGAGCCCCAGATCCCAAGGCCCCAATGTGAGGCTGAGGTGAAAATCCATTACATCAAACAAAAAACTGTATCTTAAGACCAGGTCATGTGCACGGGTTCACCTGGAGAGTAAACACTACGTAAAGTACATTTACTTCTTTCTGCTCCTCATCGCAAAGAAAAGCCACATACAGACCAGGCTCGGCCACTTACCGCTGGCCTTGACCTCGCGCACGTAGTTGCTGGGGAACCAGCCGGTCCGGCCGTTGAGTGTGCCCTCCCACCAGCCTCCCTCTTCCACTCGGGTAACATGGATGACATCTCCTTTCGAGAAGGAAAGCTCGTCCTCATTGTTCTGCTGGAAGTTAAACTTTGCTCTTACTACCAGTTGATTGTTGCTATTATCGGTCATGTCCTAAAAGGGGAAGAAGGGTGGGAGAAAAATTATACCCAGAACAGACTACTTCATTATAAAACAGATTATACTTTACTAATACAAAGGTAGCGTAATTACCCAAGAGCAGAAAATTGTTCACAGAAATGTCAGCTTCCTCCCTTGCAGTGCATCGTGACCAATCCCAGCACCACTCCAGCCCCAGAGGACACCCTCTCCACAGCATGCACAGGTCCTGCTCTGCCAGTGACACCTACGTAATCAGATACGTCCGTGTACGTGGAGACAGAGTCACACTACACGCACTTCTCCACAAGTCACAAAAGTGAAGACGGCATGGTCATTTCTCCGGCAGTACTTACCAGTGCTTACACACCGCTTAATGTTATGCCACGTGACTATGCCATTCATCACTGAATCCACTCTCCACTAGTGGGCTTTCAGATTATTTCCAATATAGTTCCATATACCATACACTGTACTTTTCTTGTGTAGTCAAGTCTGCATTAAAAATGCTTGTACATCTGTCTTTGAATACACTTGCAAATAAGCCTATGAATTAAATTCTGGTCAGAAGACATACTTATTACAGCTAACTTTTTAATACATCTTTCTAAATTGTCCTCCAAGAAGTTTCTACAAACTACACCAAGAAATATCCCCACCAACAATATCTAAAAGTTCTTATTTCATCAAACTTTAACACTCAATATTGTCAAACTTTTCTATTTTTGTCTGACAGAAGAAAATAGTGCCTCATATTTTAATTCGCATTTTTCACAGAAACTGTACATATTTTCAGATTTCGGAAAGGTAGAAAGAGGAAGGGAGAGTGGCTGGGCCTCTTTGATTTCCATCTGCCCTGGGCGGAGCTCTGGAGAGGCTGGTGACGCAGAACTACCAAAGGGCGCAGCCTGACAACCCCAGAAGCCTGTCGCATCACCAAGGGCTCAAGGAGAGGGCCACCCAGCAGACCCCAGCCCTGGCCCACCCCACTTCCCTACCACTGACAGCAGGCGAGCCCAGCCCACCTGCAACAGTGTCCACACAGACTGTACAGAACGTCTTGAGCTCCAGAGAACACCAGTGACCTCAGCAGAGTCCAGGCCTCTAACCCCACCAGGTGGCAGCAGGCGATTCCATCTGCCCACACTTCTCCCTGCCCTCCAGCCAGCCACAGGGAAGGCCTGAGACCACCCACACTTGCTGACACACAGCCCCGGCTCTACCACTAGCAGGCCCATCATCACCCCCGCATCCAGCAACATTCAGTCCCAGGGACTTGTGGGAAATAAAAGAATGTCGAACACTGCTATCTATCATCAGTCTCAGAAGCAGAGTTTGAGAAAGAGGGCAGGGCTGAAAAGCAATGTAAGAAATATTACCTTATGCAGGTAAGGGAGCCAGGGGAGGAAAACAGCACCAGCCACTCTTCCTCCATGGGAGTCCACACTGATATCACTTCAATATCCCACGTTTGGCAAAAGACATAAATATACAAATCCACGAACCTGTGTGAACCTCAAATAGTAAAAACCTAAAGAAATTCAAACCAACTCATACCATAATTAAACTTCTGAAAACTAAAGCCAAAAAAGTTCTTAATAGGATAAAACAGACATCTACAGATATACAAGATCTCAAAAATTTACCTCCCATGCACCCCTTCAAGGAGTTAAAAATGTGCTTCTCCAAAACAGGGGAATTAAAGGAAAAAACTAAAGAGAAAGAGGCAGAGGAGATCTACAGTGTCAGGGGAGTGTCCCAGGTTACGATGGTGGGCGGCTCAGAGGCAGCAGCTGCACAGCCAGCCTGGCTCACAACCAAGGGAGTTTAAAACACAGCACAGGCTCCAAGGGCGTTCATCAGGAAATGAGGAAAAATAACGTGTTTGAATGTCGAAGCAGAGATCCTCAGAAACACACAAAAGACTAGATCTGCAACCTGCAACACATATACAGAAAACTAAACAAAGAAATCAGAATTACCAATTCCCCCTCAAAAAAAATGTTACTAGCAAGTTAAGGATAGCCATAGTACACAACGTGACTCTGCTCTGAATACTATCTACCTTGTCATAACGTTACCCTGAACCCCAATTTCAGTGAAAGCATGGCGGAACTCAGCCATGGGAAAGACAGGCCGAGGTGTTTATGCAGGTAAGGGAGCTGGGGGGGAAAACAGCACCAGCCGCTCTTCCTCCATGGGAGTCCACATTGATATCACTTCAAATTAAGAAAAAGAAAAGGCGCTTTATTTAGAGACACACAGGCAAATACTTACAAAGAACCAACAGAGCCTTGGAGGCAAAGCAAGACAGCCAACTAGAACCCTCCAGCGACTGCCCCCTCAGCCCCGCAGGACAACAAACTATCCACACTAGAAGGCAGCTCCTTAAGAATCAGCACTCAGAAGTGATGGCTGCTAGAGGGGACGGATGCCCCCAGTTACTCTGAGATTATTATAACCCATTGTATGCCTGTATCAAAACAGTTCATGTACCCCATAAATATATATATATGTCCTAGGTACCATAAAAATGAAAACAAAAAAAAAGTGGAAAAACGGAAAGTAACTCTGTCTCTGTGTTTTTTCCTAGTCTCAGAGAATTACTTGACTTTAAGTGCATGTATAAATCACCGAAAAAAAATGTTTTTAAAAGTAAAGCATCAAAGCAAACAGGCCACAGCAGATCCTCAATAAGGTGTGGCTATAATATTATTCCAAAAATATTTAAAACTTATCTATTTAAATGTGTTTACAGATTAAGAATTAATTATAAATATGTATTTAGCAATTCAAATTCGTAAGTTAAATATTTAATGCATATTTCGTATTTCATCAACAAGCCCCTCTTCAGTGTTTGGCAACAAAATCACCAGTAGGCAATTAACAGCGCAGACACAAAGCTCTCTGGCCCCCATGACCCACAAGGAGCAGGGTCAAGTTTGGCACTGCCACTGAAGCTCACATCCAGACACTGTCACGTGGTCCTTGCTCTTGCGTGGTGAAATATAACCTGATCTCATCATGCTATGTCAAGTTCTCTTTTTGCAAACCACCATCTCCACTCACCAGCTGTCTGCTGAGATCGCCAACACGCTCTCCTGCAAGCAGTCCAATGTCACCTGGGCACCCTGGCCTTGTGGAAAACAGGCTCACGGTGCAAGCACGCTGGTGATCAGCTCCAACACCAGAACACAACTGTAGTGAGCAAAGCAACACAGGCACAGCAGGCCCCTCCCTAGGTCAGGTGCCCAGGGTCGCCCTCGGCCAGCCCTGAAGCTCCAGCCAGCACCAGGGCTGAGCCTGAACGGAAGCAGAAGGGAGACAGGGACGATCAAGAGGCAGCAGCATTCCACCTCATGGTCATGTGTGCAAACGCAGGCGCACTCTACGCTCAAGGCACACCCCTACTGACGTTCCTTCATCAATGTAACACCCCAGAAAGGAAGGGTGGAGCCTAAGCGGGGGAGGGCTCCAGGAGAGGTGCAGGGGGCCGGCAGCCATTTCAGATCCAGGTATCCAGGTGAAACATCCCAATGCAGCCTATCTTCATTCTTCAGCAGTCACTACATGGAAGGACGTGCAGGCTTCTGCAGCGTCTCTGTCTGCACTACTACTCTCAAGACAGATTGCTCAGACAGCACGTGCCAACAGGTGCTCCATCAGAGCGCAGGAGGTACGGGACAAGCTAGAGAAGGGTCCTAAAAAGGCTATATTTCAACTACACACTCCACACCACCAAGTTCAGCCTAAAATCACAGCAGCTGAGTGAGGGCTCCGTTCACTATCAACAGTGTTACAGGAAGCGGGAAGAGAGGTATTCCATTACTATTTTATCATCGTGGGTTTTTCCCTTTTTTTAAAAGCTCTCCTAAAACTGCAGCTTGTCACCTGTCTAACTCAACAAGACTAAGGGAGTCTAATAATGGGCTCAGAAAAAGCCAATCGTTTAAAAAAAAGCGGGGTCGAGAGGAGGTATGCCACAGAATCCCATTGCTAAAAAATACAAAAATGAGTAAAACTCATTTTTACCATCAGACAGGACAGTAGATGCCTTGCGGAACACGAGTCCTGTAGAGAAGCCGGGTGGCTAGTCATGCTCTGCCTCCTTATCTGGGTGCTGCCTACACAGGAATGTTCCATGTGTAAAACTTCATCATGCTGCACATCATGCTGTATACGCACAACACATGAACTGTTTTTCTATGTACATTACATGTCAATAAAAGTAACTGGAGGGGAGTGAAGACAGTCCCCGACAGCCCTAACCGAAGAGCCCTATCCGGGCGTATGTGACCCTGGCTGGGCAGGGTCACCTATGCTCGCCAAGCTCCGTAACAACCTCTTTCTGATGCCTAGAGCTGAAGCACCACCTATTAGTATCTTGGCATATTAAACTTAATCACTTGATTGCTTTATTGTATCCCATGTTCTGAAATTATCCTGACAATCCAAAACAAGGACACTCTGGAGTGCTGCTTCACACCAACTCTATCCTCTCCTCTACTCTCTACGAAGGGCACCTGTAATTTCCTTTTCAGAAGAAAGGCTTGTCAGGGTAAGAGACACAATTTTTACTCCAACTTTACTATTTCTGAGTGCTGTGATCTTGTGTGAATACCTTCTCTAAGCTTCAGTTTCCTCATAATATATGTCATCCAATATAAGATGCCAACAATTAGACAATGCCTTTATATTTCACTAAATACTATCAAATTATGGCATATCATCACTGTAAGATACACGTACTTCCAGATGTGTTAAAATGACTTAAAAAGATAAGTCTTTGAATTGACAAAATATGGTCTATTAAAGCACAATATTATCTGTGTTTACTAAACAGGGAAGTTAAAAATATTTAACAATGTGTGCAATATCTTTGGATATAATTTCTTGCATGCCTTGGAAATACACTTGGTGACTGGTATAAAGCAAAGTTACCTGCCAGCATCAGGGCTGTGCCAGACGTCCAGGTCCCTGGTTTCCAGAAGCAGCAGAAGAACCACTTTAAAAAATCAAGTCACCTCTCCCAGAAATGAAGGATGATGGGAACAACCACCTCACAACTCACAAATGCTGTCCCCAAACTGTGAGAACAGCATCCAGCACTCAAGGCTGTACCTATCAGCGGCCAGCAGATGAAGACTAAAAGCACAGCAGAGATACCAGTAATTCCAGCAGTGTCGATCAACGTTCTTAAGAACGATATGTGAATGCACGCCTTATCTATGAGGAAAACCATTCTACATTCTTAACCACGGAGACCCACCACAGAGCCGAACTGGACAAAGAGCTTGATTTAGCTCAGCCTCTGGAAGTGGGTAAGAAGAACTCTCCCAAGGAAAGAAGAGTCGGGGAAAGGGGAAGAGGCAAGTTAAAATCTCCACTTCAGTGAAAAGCAGTAAATGCAACATCAAAACTGTTCAAGCCAGCCTATATCCCGAGGCAGGAAATCTGTCCTGGGGCAGGGGGCTGACAGTTTCACAGATGAAAAACAAGCTTAAAAAACACTCAGCAACTACAGTGGTGGCCGAGGCAGACATTCTTACACTTAAAGGCAGGCAGGTGATGAAGGGGCAACGTGAGAGCACAGGGGCGTAAACAGCAGCAGCCCTGAGAACACTCATCCTCGCCAGGGGATGGAAGCATCTTACACAATCTCAAAGCTTAGCTTTAATATGATCTCAAAACTGACATTCAAGAAACCGCAAGTTGCCTTTTGGCTCAACTTTTATCATGGAAACATTCAAATATATACAAAAGGAGAGAATGACATGACGGGTGGGCCTCCATGCGCCCACCAGCCAAACATTCCCTTGAAGCTGGCCATTCTCGTTTCAAGATAAATTTTTAATCCAAAAAAACTACCTCAAAGTACTACTGATAAACTATACACAGAAAAACCTAAGGGTAAAGAAACACTTATTCTTACCTAGCATGGCTGAGAGAGGTCTTGGCACATTCCATAAAAGAGAAGGCAGCTCACTAGCACCCAATCAAAACATCAGTCAGCCCCAAAAAGACTTCACATGGGTCAGAGAGCTCAAGTCTTTATTTCTAGTACAATGAAGTTTCTGTAGCTAATGAAAAATTAATCCTATACTTATTATGATCGCAGTAACAATCCCAACATTACATTTAACTTTACTTAAAATTACACACTTGTAATCCAATCCTCCTCTACACAAAAAGAAAAAAAATCACATGAAAACTGTCACCGGTGAATGGGTGAGACAGCCAATCACTGCTTTGCCCAAGGCATGCTCATTTCTCTTACATTTTCCTCATGTTTTATAGAGCTAACTTCAGGTATGTTTAAAGTGGTTTGTTTAGTTCTCCCTAACTTAGAATCCTAACGCTCTCGGTGATAGTCCACAAAACTCCTCCAGCACAGACTCCTGCAAAGCAGGAAATGGCAACAGCCAGGCCTCAAGGGGCACTGTGAGGGCTGCAGCACTCAGCCCACACAGTCCATACTGCACACCACACAGAGCGCCGGGAGCAGTGAGGCTCCTCGGGGCTCCTCTGAGGAGACACATTGCTGTGTCTCCTTGAGTTCAAAAAGTTCAGAAACATAAAAATCACATTCCTTGCCTATCGTTCCATTTTTAACACATGCTTCATAAACCACTCAAATTTATATTTCTCTCTACAAAACATGACTCTATTTAAGTTAATTTCTATTTCTTGAGGAGCGCCATCAGCTTACTTAGCAACATTCTATGTTAAGGCAGAGGAAAATCCATGGACCCTTAATAACTCTAGAATAGGGTTCTCTCTAGACTCACATTACAAGATCACTATGTTTCTAATGAAGTAATGTACTAAGATGTCATGAGAAAGTAGTGGCATCCCCATCAGCCAATCCAAGTCACTGCCCGCCAGCCTGAAGCTCAGAGAATGGCGCAGACTGCAGAGTGGCAGCCCCAGCTCTACCCCGACATTCTCCAAGCAGTCCTGCCTCAACCCTGCTTGAATTTCTCATTTACAGCTTCACTGTTACATTCCGGGGGCTTTACTCACAGCCTGTATCCTGAGCATTAACAAACAAGTATTTCTTCGCTCTCCAAGATGACTGTTCCATCGTCTAAGTTTCTTTCTCTGCTTCCCAATCATCCATCCTGAGGGGTTCCCTCTTCTCCAAACCAAATCCTGACTTGGTAAAGCACACTAAGCCATGCTTTCAAGAGGAAAAAAAGCCAGATTCTTTAGATTCTTTAGTTTGAACCACGTCTTCTCTGCAGAGCTGAGTGCCTTTACATATGAATTTCTTATCCTCATATTTCTGTACATGTGCATAGCTGATAATGGCATGCAGGTGATGAAGGATGCGTTTTAAAAGCACGCATCACTGCAGATGTCAACAGAGTCGAGTCTTGTAATACAACCTAAAAACAAATGAGTTTCTCAAAAGCACTCATTAAGTATAATATCTGGATAATCTGGTAATGAACAAACACCAAACCAGATTACAGGAGCAATGGAGGCAAAGTCCCGCTGTCTTCAGCCTGCTTAACATAATTAACGAGGCACACGTATCTTTCCGGATACATCCATACACACTCATATCCTCCCAAACACATTTAAGTAACAAAATCTCTCAAACTTACCAAACTCCGATACTGGCCCTGGAACAGCTTTGAAGTCCGAGTGTGCAAAGACTGTGATCCAAGGGAGTCGAAAGACTTTATGCGGTGAGATGAGGGCCGGGCACACACGGAGTCACTCCCCAGACCGATGTCTGCAAAGGGCGTGCACACAGAAAGAGAGAGCTGAGGGCGCCTGATACCACGCACCCACACTACACACTCGACTCGACAACTAGGCCAGCACAGAGGGACACACCAAAGACCACAACAAAGCAGCCCATTTATGCAGAAAACAAAGAACAAATTCTTTTTACATAAATGCCTTGCATTCATTCCCCAACTACCTTTCCAGAAATTATCTGGAGATAACTATTAATCAGTATAATTTTTCAGAAATCTGTGAAATGTATTATAACCGTTCTTAAGATTTTCCCTTCACCTGGAAAAAAGAGCCTCTCAACTTCGATTATGGAGCAGAGAACAAACAAGCACTGATTCTCCAACGCATCATCACCACGTGCCCACTTTTCCAGGACTATGCACCACGTAATAAGCAACAGGAATTATTTTATAACAAAAGGGAAAGACTCTTATTTAAAATAGAAAATCCCAGTGTCTTTTTCAGCCAGAGTGAACCTTGTGAAGATTATTTCCTCAAAACTAAGGCAGCACACTCTGTACTCACCTCATGAAGTTGTTGAGAGGATCAGAGTAAACAGATATTAAAAGGTTTTATTAGTTCTATTCCCTGGATCCCCTTTCATGTTAAGACACTCCACAAAGACCAAGCAACAAATAAATAATAGCAACTTACTCTTAAAAATGATTCAATTTAAAAAAAAAAAAAGGGGGTGGGGAGGGCTGTGAAAAAGTTTGCTGGGAAAATTGCTATTCTGAGAAGCACGTGCCCGGCAATGTCCTAAAGCTCAAAGGAGCCTACCAAAAAAGCACACCTAAGTCTCCAGGTCCCAGCTTCCTAGCAGATGTCTGGATTGGCTTACACAGTATCTGGTAAAATTCTGAATTAACTGTCAATGTCTAAAAGTCTGAAGTTACCACCAAAAACCCAGATTCTCCACTGCTCCTGAGACATTTAGGATGCGGCCACACCAGGTCTATATCCCCTCAGGTAAAGGTGGCTCAGAGCTGGGCAGGGGCTATCCCGAAAGGACCCAGCGTCCATGCACTTCCGCCCAGCTCCTCCCTTCACGTCACCCGCCTGACCCTGCAGACGTGGGCTTGCTATCCCAACAGTCTTAAATTCTTCTCAAGTTACCCAAGCACCCTATACTTCCAAGGATCTGCTGAGGGCAGGTTACAAGTAATCTCCAGAGAGCATGCTACTTGAGAACACTGGGGTGTAGGCAACCTGCAGCACAAAACCAGCTAAAAGAGCATTTCCAGCAAATTCCACAGGGCTCCCTGCCACGAGCTGCAGTGCTTCACTGGCCCTGGCCTTCAGGGACTTCTCATACAAGGAGGGCATCCTGAAGACATTCTGTACTTCCCCAAAACCAAGCTTTCTTCTATCCAGTTAAAAGGCCAGTTATAGTCACCTAAATGCCTTGAGAACACATAGGGTTTTAAGTGACAAAGCAGAAAGACAATGACAATTTCCCAAGAATGTCCATGGTAACTGTGGCTGCTGCAGCCGTCTGTTCACCAATCAAGGAAAGTTGAACTCTAGAAAGATCCGAACACTGCCTGCAAACTGACTTCAAAAACAAAAACAAAGGGCAATTAGCCAACAAACAGAAAAGCAAAACACTCCTTCCATTTGGGAGGTGTCATTTCTATAGTTTAAAAGCTAAAAAGTACCAAGTTTACCTCACAACTTCCACATTTGTCTTCGTAAAGAACAAAGCTACCTATTTTATATCCAACACATAGCCAATGATACCAAGAACATACAAGAAATACAATTCCATATTTCCATAATGTGGAACAAAAACCAGTAGCCCCAGAGTGACTGGGTTCTGGCTTCTATTATTTACTTACGAATCTTACCATCTCAAACCTTGACGGTTGACAATCCCAAGGCCGAGTGTACAAATTAAAGCCATCGTCTAAAGCCACTGCTTCCTAATTAGCACCCCCACTTACAGGCAGAGACAGCGTCTACAGTGAAATTCAAAGTTACTATCTTCTGCTCCTATGAGCAACCTCTACAGAAGTATTCAACGGGAACAGAGGAATCAAATTCAAAATTACTTGTAGATTTTATTTATCTGTGCTATTGCCCCATCTGTCACAGAGACTTATGCTAATTATAAGACACAGCATTTAGGCCAAGCAAGGTGGCACATGCCTGTAATCCCAGAACTTTGGGAGGCCAAGGTTTGCAGATAGCTTGAGCTCAGGAGTTCAAGACCAGCTGGGGCAACACAGCAAAATCCCCTCTCTACAAAATACACAAAAATTAGCCAGGCTCAGAGGTGTACACCTATAGATCCAGTGGCTTAGGTGGGAGGATCGCCTGATCTCCTCAGGAGGCTGAGGCTTCAATGAGCTGAGATTACGCTACTGTGCTCCAGCCTGGGCAAGACCCTATCCCCATAAAAAAATCATGCAAAACTTTGAGGCATGGATAAATATCAGTCTGCAGACAGATCCCCCATGCCGTCAGGACACGCGGAATATGCCACTTTCTGTGCGTGATATGTTGCAGTATTCCTTGCATTAAATTCCAGTGATCTCTACTCTAAATGTATGTCCCTTTCTATAAGTTATTTTCTTAACTGTTTGTTCATATTAAAAGTATCATTTTTATATTGTAGAGACAGAAGGCATTCAATAATGCAACAATTTTAATTAGTTATATCCATCTTCATAATCCTGCCATTGAAATTTTTTTCCTAGGTACTTTCATCTGAACGGCCCTTTAAACCTCAGAAGTCAAGCTGTGAACATTCGGCCACATCCACACCTCTGCCTGGGATCTGCCCCTGATCCCAGGAATGGGGGCCAGAGCCTCTCGCCCGGGCACCAGCAGCAGCAGCAGCAGCAGCAGCAGCTCCCAGAGAGCAGTCAGAGCACACATGCACTGGGAGGCAGCACCAAGGACAGCCCCTGCGCCACCGAAGAAGCCTCCCAGAGCCAGGAACTGCAGCCCAAAGTGTTAGTGACCCCAGTCAGTGTCTCCTCCATATGCAGTGAGGCAAGTACATCCTAGTCTGAAGGGCCAGACGAAACTGAGAAGTGACCCTAACAAAATAAACTCAAGAGGTTTCCTTTTCAAAAGAAAAGGACATGTCACTTTCCCCCACAAATCTGATATTTAACATCTGTCAAGGTAAACAGAAAAAAAAAATTACTCTAAAAGAAAAATACAACTAAAAAGTTCCTTCCTTTCGAGCCACACAGAGATCCAAGAAAGAGCTCCTCAGGGCTTATGGAGCATTTCCTCCAGGGACCTTGGCATCATGGACAACATGCGCCTTCCCTCAAAGGTCCTTGCCTAAACAACTCCTGCCCTCGCTGTGGCCCATGAGAGGGGCACATCATGTCCCCAAAACCTCCTCTCCACTTCAGTACTAACAGGGGCTAACAACAAACCCTGTACCTGGGTGCCACAGCCCTCAGGAGCCCTGGACAAGTGGTGAGGACTTTACAGGCCAATCCACAAGCCACTCCCTTGTGGTCACAGCTGAAAATTTCTGCTCACTAGACACAAACTTAAATCAGCATACATTCAATAAAAACCCAGAGAAGGGTGCTTCTAGCTCCAAGACTTCCCATGAGAACTAGACACCAAGAACTATTCTCCTTACTGTACCTTCAGGTGAGAAATCTCTCCATCCACAGAAAGGAAAGCATCTGATATATACCAGAACATTTAAAGAAGATTCTGTTCTAATAAGGAAAATAAAATATCACAGCAAAAGGAACAATCAAAATGTAATGCGACAGAAGCTTATTTTTTAAATGCAATAATGCTCCCCTGGCCTCGAAAAACAAGAAAACCAAAGTGTCCGCCCTTATGTCTTCCCACCCCCTCGAGTTCAATAAAAAAGAGTCTTACCTGCTGTTACTTTATTTAGAGTCACTAAGGAACTGAGGACCTTGTTAAAATTCTGCCCCTGATACAAATCATTTGCATCAAATGTCTGAAAGGAAAAATTAAACAAGCAAAATTAGTAGAGTCTTAGTTGGGTGCAGGTTGAACTAAGTTCTCCCAGCAATGTGATGATGCTCTGCCTGAAATCCTAAGGCAGCCACACAACCTGCAACAGGGAGACCAGCGTGCTCATCTCCAAGTCCTGGGGTAAGAATCCAATCAGAATTCTCTTACTTAGGGACAGGGTAGCCTCACGGCATTAGACCAGTTCTCTGCCCAACACCACCCACCCCTTTTTACACGCTGGGGTGTGAGCTCCTTCACAGGGGAGGAGGGCAGGCTGCTGGCATCCGGCAAGCACGCAGCATGCCTGTACAATCCTCCTCTCCTTAATTAACGCAGAGGCCGCAGGGCAAGGCATGCTATACATGTTCTTTCCCGGTCACAGAAAAGAAGGGAAAATGACAGTCGATTCCAAAGCCAACAGCAGCAAAGGAAAACGCAGACATCAGAAAACAGAGTGGATATGAGGGTAAAAGGAGGAAAGACAGGAGAAGCAGATCCCAGATAGGAAAGGCGTAGGGACAAGAGACCACCATCACCTCAGAGCTCTGAGGCCAGGACCAGGCAAGCCCCAGACCGCATTCCCCTCCAATCCAGGGCCGTCTGGAGACCTGGGACCATGGCAGAGCTGGTCACATTGCCACTGGTGGGCACTTCCCACCACCCACCCTGGAGGCTGGAAAGATGAAGCACGCTGGTTTGCCTAGCTATGTTGCAACTAGAGTCTAGAAGGCATGCACACACAGCCATGTCAAAGAGCTCGGGATTCCATCTTTGGCTCCCCTTCCATCGTCCTCATGGAAGCTTTCTCTCTTTGGGCATTTCCCCTCTGGGGTCCCCTTCCACTCAGTGTGGAAGCTGCTTTCCTCTCCAGGATTCCAAACTTGGGTCCCCTTCCACAATCGTCGTGGAAGCTTTCTCTCTCTTGTCTTTCTCTCTCTCTTTCTCTCTGCCTAAATAAATCACTTTCTGAAAAAAAAAAAAAAAAGCTGTCATCTCAGATACCTCGAAAAGACTACATATGGCTTCTGGTCACCAAATAACCTCAAGCAAAAATAAACAGTCAAATCATCTACAACTGTGTTCCAGAAAAATTAAGAAAAAATTTTTCAGAGGTGCAAATAACAGAAGGATGTATTTAAATACCAAAACGTGTATCCTGTTGCCATATGTTCTAACTGAGGTTACCAGAAATGGGCATCCGTGGGCAAGGGCCCGCCTTCTCCCCAGGGCTGCCCTCCCCCCACACCTCTAGCATGTCCTACCAGAAGCCCCACTTCTCCAGCTCTTCCTGCCTTCGGTCCCCTCCCTTTCCTGGCTAATCCTTATTCATCCTGCTTCCTGACAAAGCCCCGCCTTGACAGCCTTGCTGCCCCCACCACACCCGGTCAGGTCCCCAGCCAGGCTCCCCCAGAACATGTGTCATGATAGTCTAATGGTGGATGTCTACAGGCCTCCCTGGACTACAAAAGCTGCAGAGGCAGACTGTGCATCTCCCAACACCCAGCACAGAGGCTGGTGCACAGTGACAAGGCAGCGGAAGGGAGACACGCACCAGCCTCCAACCAGCCACCCACCCTGGAGGCGCTGCATGCTGCCGTGATGAAGCTCATGCCAAGAGAAGCTAAGAAAAGTGACGCCAAATATGAGAAGTCCTGTATTACTCAAAATTCATTCCGAGCCAAGGCCTACTCTCTATAATTTTTGAAATAAGTAAAAAGTCATGTTTCTTTAAACATAAATAAAAAAAGAAAAATCAGAAGTTGAAAAACTACCTCAAGAAAAAAAACCATCGAATCACTAACAGAGTCATGAAAGGAGCTGAAAACCAGAGGTCACTTTCTTAAAGTTCACAAGAAAATATAAAATGAAACCACAAAATGTAAAAGGAAAGCTGTGAATACATCTAAACATTCTATGTGCTTACTGACACCATTTCTAACATAAAGCACAAAATATAACTGATTTCATGAAGCTTAATCCTTCCTCGTAAAAGTCCTTAGAATCACCTTTAACACAGAATACATTTGTTGTAATATTTATTATTTAAGAAGAAATTCCAACTCAAATGAGAGCACCACCTAGGCTGACATAACCATCTATAACAAATATGGGTTAAGTTGCATTTTTAAAAAAGAATTAAATAGGCCTCATCTTCCTTATATGCAAAACATAAAATTTCTATTCATCATAAAATGTTTAAATGAGAGATCTCATTGTCTTTCAGCACTACAGATCTAATTTGAGCGCTTGAAAAATTAAAGTCATGGTATACTACAAAAAGCAATACATATATAAATTTCTACTAACCTTCATATTGGCAAGGCAGCAAGTCACAAAACCCAGAACAACAGGATGTGAAAATCGTGAAGTTTCCTGTTATTCCAGAACTATATACCTTTCTTACTTGGATACCAGGAAGCATCTGATTGGCTGAAATCGCCCACCAATGGGCTTCAATATGACATCAGAGCTTAAGTGAATACACACACCACACTTCTCAACAGGAAGCTAGACAATGAGATGAGGCAAATCCTTACTACTGAGAGGGGAAAATGCACATTCTCAGTCAATAGAATGTTTAGATTGAAGTGCTTCTCTAGAAAAAAATAGCAGACTATTTCCTAAAATAAACATCTATTCAACAAAAAAACAAACAGAAAATCTGAACACAGACAAATTTTCTACTATGGGAATAAGAAGAAAATCTCAACTTTGATACAAATATCTCTGTGAAAAGTAAATCAGTGTGTATATAAGAATTACCATAGCATTTAACAACACTAAATTGTTCCCTAGGGTTATGTTGGCAGGTCGTCTCAGACAGGATTCATTCATTCCCTATCACGACCCGCTGGGTGCTTTAAAAAGCAGTACTTCCACCCTTGGCAAGGGCAAGGAGCAGCAGGAGGGAAGGAAGTTAAAACGGGATTCGATTGTCTCCAGGTTCAGCCTCGGGAGCAGTGATTCTCAGCAGGAGCTGCACATTAGGACCTCCTGGGGGCCCATAAAAGGGCAGGATACTCCAGTCGTGTTCTGGAGTCTCTAAGGGAGAGACTCTGAAATCAAAATGCTAACCCTCTCCCAGAACTCCAATGCCCAGCCAAGGGTGAGATGCTCCTGGTGAGGTAACGAAGGTCACTGGGAATCTGCCCGGCGAAAGGCTCACAACACCGGCACAGACACATTTCCTGCCACCTGGACCACCCTGCACAGGCACCATGCTGGGGAAGAGGGTGGCTGCACAGACACACTTCACCCCATGATACACTTTAGGATCTATCCATTTGGAAAAGCATATTTAAAACACTCACTTTTACATTTCAGTGCATCAAATGTGCAGTGGAATGATCTGATATTCCCAAAATGAAATCATCCTACCAGTTTTCCACTAGAAAATATTAAAATTTAGTGTTTATTTTTGATATTTTACTTTCAATACAAACTACATAATGAAATACGATAAATATCAAACCAGGGACTTAAAAAAAACCAGAGTATTCAAATAAGGATAGAAAATACTTTCTTAAAAGTTCCCATTATCTCTGAGTTTTCAGTCTTAAAGTTTTTTGTTTTTTAAAAAAGGAAGAAAAGTTCCCATGGTTGAACACAAAACGGCACAACACAGGCAGCACGTTTTGGGAAGGAGGCAGGGGCGCTGGAAGGAGGAGAATTGAGTCTACAGAGCAGAGCCTCCCTGGGTGAAGCACGGCCACCTGCTTGCTACAGCCCTGCCCCGGGCCCTCAGGCCTCAGACTTCTCATCCTTACCAGGTAAAGGGGAACACACTTAACAACAGGAAGCAGCAAGTGGAATGCCCCACACCTTTGAAAAGAAAAGGGCACGCTGAATCCCGCTTATCAAAACAGACCTGCAGATGACTCCATTCTGCCAAGGAAAACTCTTACTTTTAAAAATGCAAAATAACCACAAGAAAAAGCCCAGTGAACAGAGAGGTGAATCATCTACATTACTTACAGATCTACTTACTTACAGATCTCTCATTCAGAGATAAAAATGAAGCCCTAAAACACAACGACCTTCTCAAGTCTACTCTCTGAGTCACTAAGATTGACAATCTTTGATTGTCAATCCCATTAATAAAAAATTAAAGTATGTTTGTTAGACCTCATTTCTCTTGCAAGGCTTTGCAGAAACTGCTTCTTAGGAAGCTGAATTGTAGCTGGCATTGTTTAGGAAAATTACCTTGCCTTCTATGAAATACACAGGCCATATATAAAGCAATTTGGGCATAAAAAAGAATGGCTAGACTATCAGACCATAAAAGAAAGGAGTGAGACACAGAGAAACAACCTGAGGAAAAAACTTCTACAGCCGTAGGTCAGAGAACTTCAGCCTCAGGGACCAGGGGGCCGAGGGGGATTCCAACAAACGCTGCGGACTCGAAGGAGCCACAAGCCTGGAGATCCAGTTCTAGGTCAAGAAGACAATGGCATGGGCATGGTTTTTAATTGAACACTGAGCATCATTAGTATTTAAACTGAGGGAAATCACTCCCCTGAGCCAAAGAGGAAAAAAAATATCTTCTGTAATGTTTTCCTAGTTGTGACTTTCCAAAAGAAAAGCTTCAGTTGTTTCCACAGTGGCCCTGAGGCTGGCACTATTGCCTGCCTCATTGCCAGCCT